AATTTCCTTGAGTACCGGTGTCCCTGGAGCCTTCTTGCTCTCGCGGTCGATTTGCATGCTGGCAAGTCTAAGGACTCGGCAATAACACAATGTTTACACCTTGTTTATTACTATTGTTTTAGGTTGAAAAGTATGCCAGTGATAGCCTAAAGTGGTATGAGAGAATGAATTAAGTGAGATGGGTGGGAGCTATATTAGACGCAATGAATGAAATCCAGAGGAGCTTATTAAGGTTTTGAACACCTTATCTACTTGCCCATGGTGGTGGAGATCAATTAGTGAAGATTGACGGTTCACGATACTTACATGAGAATTCTCCCAGTAACAACAAGACATTTAAGGTACACGAATGAGCTGCTCTACTGACAGCACTGAGCGAACTAATAAACTCTCTACATGGGTATTTTCGACGAATAGTTAGGGCGCTTGACGCGGTATATCATGATGGCAGGAAGAGGCGGTCTTAAAACGGCGTTTGTTAAAGTGTTGTTATTGTCCTGCCCGGAGTAGGAGTTTCGGCTGCCTTCTTCCAAGCGTAATTATTGTGAACTCATCCCAACAACAGTCGTGATTTGTCTAAACCTTTTTAGCCCCAAGAGTGACCAATATCAATTTTCTCCTGACGATGTCACCACGTTTTCAAGGGAAAAGGTTATAAAAATTTATAAAATAATCACCAAAGAGGAATTTCTCGTCTCCAAACTTGATGTCTAAAGAATAATATAGAGTTTTCCCTCTTCGGCCAATTTTCCTTCCCGTTGTCACTTTTAAATCTACCTATTATTATTTCATTATTAACTCAACTGCTTGTGAAACTTCCTTTGCAGGTGTACAAAAATGGACGCCATGAACTGTTGAATGAGGTGGAAGAAACTGCGAGCGTGGTTTACAAGGACATTCTTGACTGGATCCAGCAAAAGCTACCTTGAACTATTTTAGGCCGAGTTTACACGAATCCAGACTAATTTTTGAAACAGCATATCTTTTTACCCGGATTCGTGTAGACGAGGCTTTAAACCACCCCTGAGAGCGGTTTCGAAAAGATATTAGGCTGATTTAGCAATAGAACGAGAACGTCAGTTGACGACGACACGCGCAAATCAAACAACTGGCTTGACCAATGGGAGAGTAGCAAATTGAACACCGGAAATCGCGTCCAGTCCTTTCCGCGCGCCCTCCCGTCGTCAACTAACGTAAAATGAAAAATCATCCTAATGTTTCGGTGAGAGGATTCACTGGTTTCATGTGTGGAAGGAATACCAGACGGAAGGCCTCCGGATCCGGATTTTGTGCGGACGGGGATTTTCACGATTGTCAATCTACAAATATGTCCAAATTCATTTCGTTTTCTTAATTTCCTTCATATTAAAATTCGGTAAATTCAGAAGCCTTAATTTGCATGAGAAAGCCAAATTCTGAAGGATTCTAAAAAGGGCCGTTTGCACGATGGCGTCATTTTACTATATTAGATTCCTTCAGGGTTTTGCTTTCTTGCGCAAGTTAGGGCTTTCGTTATTTGAACCTCAGTGGGATTACCAAATTTAATTATGAAAGAAAAAATGAAATGAATTCCTTTAGTAGTAAAAACAAGTCATCGCCTAAATAGCCAATTAGGCCCCGTGGCCCCAGTAGCCTTGCAGCAGTTCAGAATAGACCCCTATGGGTCGCAGTTCTTTTGTTTTCGAGCTAGGTTCCAAACTTTGTTTGTTCATAATGTTTTCCTAACCAGTACCCTGAGGTCTTCCAAGAGCTGCAAGGTCGCCCCTTATATAAAGAAAAGTCGCCCCAGGTTGAAGAGTCACTCGCTCACCCGAGCTACCCTGGGCGAGCCAACATTTGCTACATTTCCTTACCGAAACTTGGCGTTTAATTACACTAAAAAACAAATAGTGGGCTCGGATAGAGCCCTTAGCTTTTTCGATGGTAAGGTCACCTTCCTAGCTAAGTCAACTTTTCTCCAAGTAAACACTTGGCTTGACCAGCCGACTCAACTCGGTTAAGGCGAGAGAATCAGAAGATGCGAGAGCGCTGTTTTCAGCTCTAGGCTTGGGCAAAAGGGTCAACTGATTCTCATATAAACACTTGCTTAAGTTGACTCGGGCTGGGAGGGTGACCCCGGGAAAATTTTTCTCTATATAAACAGGGCCTCACTCGCATATTTTCTTGATATAGGTTCAATAAACAAAACCATAACTCTGCAGGTGCATCACACGTTTTTGTAAATTTATTCGCCGTCACTACCTTATATAAAGGACATAAGCACCCAAAGACAAATGTCTTTTTCTCTATTAACACTTTGATGTCAGTGCTACCTAAATTAACCAACTTAGCCAATTAAGATAATCCCCACAAATTTTAAAAGTACGCCAAATAGCTTTATAAATGACGTTCCGCTACCGTCGCCTCCCTAATGTCGGGCGTATTAAATGTCGAGCAACTGACGTTCAGTCACAGTCAATCTCTGTATTTTGAACGCCATACGTCAGTAGTTAGGTCTCACGTTAGGTTGTCTGCTTTGAACTAGAAAAGGTACCAGAACGATCGAGAAACGTACCCCACGTGGTTTTGAACCCGGCAGGCTAAAATTGACTGGAGACCTCAGAGACGAAAATACCGGTCACCTGGAGCGAAAGGCGACGGGAAGAAGAGATAGGCTGGGAACGAGATTGATTTACAGTTTGATGTTCCTGTAAAATATTAGCCTCCGATCATGCTGTCCCTAAAAAAACGTAAAACGCCTACTCAAAAAAAGACGATGAAACATGAGAAAGTATAATAGCCAGATAATAGCTTTACACTATTTCCTCGTTTTTGTTTTCGTCTTTTGTGGCTATGATTTGTATTTTTGGATTCTGTTTCAGTTTTGCGGTTTAATTTTGTATTTTTTTGAGTGTGTTTCCTGTTGGGGATGCTTATTTCCGTTTTGGGATTTGTGTTTCTGTTTTCTGGTAGTGTTTTTCTGTTTTGGGTTTCCGTTTTGTCTTATTTGTTTCTGTTTTGGGTTTGTTCTTTTCTATTTTTGTTGTTGTTGTTGTTGTCTTGTGGTTTTTTTGTTTCTATCGGCCACCCTATATATTTGATAGTCCTCTGCATTTAAATCCAACCACTGGAGAACACTTCAAAACTCCGTTGAAAATTTCTTCACAGATATCAAATCGTCCAGGTAAGAAATAATCTCCTTTAACTTGGAATTTCTCTGATCAGATATTTCTGCAAGGTTCATTTTGATTTCCTGCTGTAGTTTTTTTTCCTCTCTTTTTTACTTACAAATAATTAATAATAAGTTTAGACCGGTTTGCGACCGCGAAGCAAAGTATGTTTGTTCCATGTTAAGCAAAATGTCGGACTAGCATATTGTTTTGACCGATTTGTGTTTCTCTCCCTTCGTTGTCTCCCTTTTCCGCTACTCTCTTCCACTTCCTTTCCACCCCTCCCCCGCCTCCAACCCCCCCACCCCTACCCCTCCTCACACAAGCAACGCCGGATATTCAGGATGATTTGTGTTAAATGTGGATCTCTCATGTTGTAGACGTCACAGATTTATAATAATTTTCATTTATATTACAATAGCTAACGAAGAAAGACCTGCTTTGTGCATACATTTGTGAAACTAAGTCTTGCATCGATTAATCAGAAATTGAGGTCACGAACTTTTTTAGTCAAGACATCTTTCCTCAAACAGCTGACTTTTAAATTGGGACTATGTGAATTGTACTGCCAGAAAGGTTTTCAGGAAAATTACTATTTATAAATAAAATCGCCTTTATTGCTGCTCTAAGTAAAGCAAACAATTTAAAATTTGTTGTGGTTTGCTAGTTTGTGGTCTTTCTGAAATTTGCATGCAATGTTATTGTCGCCAGGCAGCGGACTCATTTTTTGAACTTTGACTTATCATTATAAAAACACAAAACAATAAAAAACGTAAGAAGGATCAATTAAAACTCGCGACTAATAAACGCTCACAATAAAACCAGAGACGAGATACCGTTTTAAAAACTTTATTGAAAACCAATGACAAAAAGAGTCAAATACACAGCGATTTGAAAGGAATGAAAAATTAATCCTCTTCCTCGTTCTCCTCTTTAGAGGGGGAATAAAAATTGGTTTCCAACGTCTTCGCTTTTCTGTGTGTAATTGCTCCACAATGGTGACACCAAAGAAAGCCCTCTTTGATGTAATTTCTCTCCTCGGGGATCTGGTGATCGCTTATCGGACAAATCTTGTAGTAATCGTGCCAAAAGCAGTTAGGACATTTCACGATCAATGTTCCGTACACTTTAGAATTCTCACAATGTTCACAGGGATTTTCAGAGTGAAAGGTGGTGGACGTTTCAAGGCTACTACTTTCTGTTTCCTGACTGTGGTCGTTTTTCAGTGTCGTCGTACCTCTCTTGGGAGTCAACTTCAACACCATTCTCAGAAGCCACTTCCTCCTCCTCCTCCTCATCCTTCCCCTCCTAATTTTAAATATCCAATGAACCCCCCTCATTATTACTCTCGTTATCGGAAGTATTTTCTGCATTTCGCTAGCCTTATTCCTTTTCTATTAAATCGCCCAGCAACTTTTTGTTCTTGATTAAACCTTTATCGACTCCTAACTCTGCAAGTCCATCTAGAAACGTATTCAGCGCACGAGGCTTGGTAACGTCATTGTCACGTGGGGGTAGCACATACTCAACAAGCTCGGCAATGTTTATGACAGGAATTATATGTTTATTTCAAAGTAATTGTCCGCGGGGAGTCCAGAAATATTTGTCTTATAACACTAATATTCAGAAATTGTCCAAAAAAATTCCGGAGAAGAGTTAGTTGGAGTAAATCTAGAGGAAGAAAGTCACTGTGAAAGTTCTGTCATGTCTTATCTGTCTAATGGGAACATACAGTGTATTCTAAGACTCAAATGTATTAATAAGAAAATTATTTTTGTTTACCCCACCTCAACGATCCTCAAAGACAACACTGCCAAGAAACAGTTCCACTTTGAATACTAAAACTTGGAAATGGCAGAAAAAATACTACAAGATATAGCTGAACTAAACAAGCGTCTTACAATAGCGCAAATCAATAAAAACACGGAAGAGAAAGCAGAAGCCTACTACAATCTAGGCAGAGCTTATTACTTCCTCGATAACTTCCATGGAGCAATAGAGTACTTCAAGCAATACTTGAGCATTGCTGAGGAAGTCGGTGATAGAGCAGGTGCACGACGTGCCTATTGCCACCTCGGCAGTGCTTATGGATACCTGGGTCACTACCAAAGAGCAATAGAGTGCCACAATCAACACCTCAGCATTGCCAAGGAAGTTGGTAACAGGGCATGTGAAGGCCAAGCCTATTGCCAACTCGGCCATATTTATAGTCGCCTCGACGAAAACCAAGGAGCATTAGAGTACACCAATAAAGGCCTCATCATCGCCAAGGAAGTTGGTGACAGGGCAGGTGAAGGAGATGCCTATGGCGATCTCGGCCTTGCTTATCACAGCCTTGAAGAATTCCAACAAGCAAAAGAGTACCACAATCAACACCTCAGGATTGCCAAGGAAGTTGGTGACAGGGCAGGTGAAGGACGTGCCTATGGCAATCTCGGCCTTGTTTATGGCAGGCTTGAAGAATTCCAACGAGAAATAGAGTACCTCAATCAAACCCTCATCATTGCCAAGGAAGTTGATAACAGCGCAATGGAAGGCAAAGCCTATGGCAATCTCGGCGCTACTTATGACAGCCTTAAAGAATTCCAACGAGCAATAGAGTACTACAATCAAACCCTCATCATTGCCAAGAAAGTTGGTGACAGGGCAATGGAAGGCAAAGCCTATTACAATCTCGGCGTTACTTATCACAACCTTAATGAATTCGAAAGAGCAATAGAGTACAAGAATAAATACCTCATCATTGCCGAGGAAGTTGGTGACAGGGCAGGGCAACGGAAAGCCTATAGTAATCTCGGTGGTGTTTATTACAAACTTAATGAATTCCAAAGAGCAATAGAGTACACCAATAAAAGCCTCATCATTGCCGAGGAAGATGGTGACAGGGCAGGGCAACGGAAAGGCTATGGCACTCTCGGCAATATTTATCTCATTCTCGGCGAAAACCAACGAGCAATAGAGTACACCAATAAATGCGTCATCATTGCCAGGGAAGATGGTAACAGGGCATCGGAAGGCGAAGCCTATTCTAATCTCGGCGCTATTTATCGCCACCTTCAAGAATTCCCACGAGCAATGGAGTGCCACAAGAAACACCTGAGCATTGCCAAGGAAGTCGGTGACAGAAAAGAAAAAGGACATGCCTATTTAAGCATCGGCGAAGTTCATAAATCCCTCGGCGACGTGCCACGAGCAATCGAGTACTTCAAGCAATGCCTGAACAATGCCGAGGAAATCGGTGACAGGAAAGGACAAGGACGTGCCTATTGCCGCCTCGGACTTTGTTATTTAGATCTCCACGACTTGAAGGAAGCAATAGAGTGTTACACGCAACACCTGAGCATCTCCCAGGAAATCGGTAACAGGATGATAGAAGCATGTGCACATAGAGGTCTGGGTCACTCTTTGTTGAAATCACATTCTTTGAATGAGGCTTTAGAACATTTTAGATGCAGTGTTAAAATCTTCGACACTATTAGAGCCAATTCTATCTCGGAAGATCAATTGAAAATAAGTTTCTGTACGAGTCATCATTGTGTCTATACTCATTTATGGCAAGTTTTAGTAATGCTTCAAAGGAATGATGAGGCTTTATACGCTGCTGAGAGGGGACGAGCACAGTCTTTGCTCGATGCCTTGAAAGTAACTTATGGCCTTACATCACGTTCTCCCAGGTCAATTGAATCTGAAGAAGAAGTCAAATATCTTTCAATGAACACAGCTGTTTTAACGGTTTTTCTTGCCCTGGAATTGAAAACAGTCAATATGTGGGTATTGCGAAAAGAGGGCAACCCTATTTTTAGGAAAGCGGAGTTTGAAATTGGAGGTGCACACGAAGATTCTTTTGCTCTCCTTTTAGACTCTGCTTTAAAAAAAATGAGGGCTGGCGTCGGTATTAGGTGCGAAAATCGGTCAATGGATCAGCTGAGTGACGACCCAACTTCAGCTACTCCAGACGATGATCAAATATCGAAGCCATTACGGGGAACCACCGACTGTTTACAGCCATTATATGATGCAGTTATTGGTCCCATTGAAGATTTGCTCCATGGTGATGAATTAATTGTAGTCCCTGACAGCGCTTTGTCTAAAGCTCCTTGGGCAGCCCTGAGTGAAACGTTAAGGATCCGCACTGCTCCCTCACTGACAAGTTTGAAACTCATCACCGATTCTCCATCTGGACACCACAGTAAAAGTGGCGCCTTACTTGTCGGAGATCCATGTTTGGAGAGAGTTACAAATAAATGGGGGAACCCCATTTATGATCCTCTGAAGTACGCAAGAATGGAAGTGGAGATGATTGGAGAAATTTTAAAGAGTCAACCTTTAACAGGTGAAGATGCAACCAAAGAAGCGGTACTTCAGAGAATCGGGTCAGTTGCTTTGGTACACATTGCAGCCCACGGAAGAAAGGAAACCGGAGAAATTGTTTTGGCTCCAGACCCCCGATGGGAATCCAGGCCTCCTTCGGAGGAGGACTGTATTATGAAAATGTCTGACATACAAGCTGTGAAGCTGAGAGCAAGGCTAATTGTGCTTAGTTGCTGCCACAGTGGTGAAGGAAAGGTCTCGTCTGAGGGTGTGGTCGGTATGGCACGTGCTTTCTTGTTTGCTGGTGCTCGTTCCGTGCTGGCGACACTCTGGGCAATTGATGACGAAGCCACAATGATGTTTATGAAGTCTTTCTACGAACAACTTGGAAGTGGAGAAAGTGCAAGTGTTGCTCTTCAGAGGGCCATGAAATGTCTTCGAGACTCCCAGGATTATTCTGCTCCAAAGTACTGGGCTCCTTTTGTTCTGATGGGCGATGACGTTAAGATTGAATTGGAAAAAGGTCATTGAGCAAGTCGTAAGTGGAGATTTTTTTTTCTTGCTGCTCTAGTAACAGAGGGCGTAAAAAGAAAAGCCAGAACCATTCTTGTCAAATTCAGATAAGAGGAAAATGACAGACTTGATAGTAAAAAGAATAAAAAATGTACATAGTAAGGATGGGTAGGGTGGTAAGTGTTAAATTACTATGGATTCACTCAAGTAAATGCTATTCCTAACCGGCTACCAACACATTTCAAAAATCAATTGAACACTAGACATTCCTTAATGTTCTCAATTGTTAATAGTTTAGGTCAGGTGTGGATAAAAGATATACATAGGGAATAAGTTTCCTTCGTTTTTCTACAGGACTAGCACTATATGTAGAGAAATTCATAGCTTCAAAACGAACAGATATGCCTAACATGTTAAATGTTTTTCATTTTGCTATTTTTCATATCATCATCCATGGCATCCTAAAATTTAACGCTTTAATTTTCATTGAAATGAAAGATTAATTAATGTATCAATTGTTACTTTCTTTACAGGGATGCACTGAAAGTTTGATGTCAACACAACTGCTGAAGTAGCGTGTATATATCTGGATTTCCCCAAAGAAAGAAGTGCGTTATTTAATAGCTGTCCTCAGTGGGACGTTTGGTAAAAAAGCGTGTTTTCATTTTAGTCATTTTTTGTCAGAAGATATTAAATAGAGAGATTTATAGTCACGCTTACGGCAAATGGCAAACGTCTACAGATTCAAGTTGAGAATTTCTCAGAATAGAACATATGCAGATAAACTGAAGACAGCTCAAAGCAATTCTTATGGAAAAAACTAACTTGAAAGTAACAATTTTTTGTAGATTTATTCAACAGCAAACGAGAAAGCTCGAGAAGTAAAGGGAACACGTATTCACGTGGCACAAATCCACGGTTTGCCGTAAAGGTAACTCTAAATCTCTCTAATTAATAACATCAAAAAAACGTTGTAAATCAAAGGGCATACTGTATACTGTGGAGCTCTATATTAGCCACGGCTAATCTTATCAACTTTAGGGAAAAAGACAAACAATTTTCATGGGGAAGAACTTAACGTTGTTTACAAGTATTTCGTTACTCCCGCGAAACTGACTGAATAGTAGTACAGATGATTGCCCCTTTTCTCGACGTGCAACTTACCTTAACCAGCAAATTGTAATTTGGCAAAGGAAAATTGCATTGTAATAATCGTAATATTGATGACAATAATAATAATCATCATAATCTTAATAATTCCTTTTCAGTTTTTTTCCCCTCGGCTTTAAAGCAAATGACCGAAACAAATAATTCAAATTAATTTAACAGGGTTAACCCTCGGACGTACACGCAAATTCATACCCCTACTGTGGTGGCTTATTTAAAAGTAAAAAAACGTTTAAATAAGCCCTTTGCATCATTTCATTGACAGGTTTTACTTTTATTGCTGAAAAAAGTTGTAAGAACAGGCATTTTTACTCAAAAATGGCTTGACCACCTGCTACTTCAGTCGTCATATGTCGTAACCATAGTAACTGACCATCTCTAAACTTGTCTCAAAATGCGCGCGAGGGGTAAACGAACAGCTTCTGAAAACGAAAGTTACTGATGTTTTATCGTCTAAAAAACAAAACAAAAAACGCGGGGGGTGGGGGGGGGGGGCGGTTGTGCGTCCGAGGGTTAAGAATCTGAAGTCTCCTAACGGGACGGAGACGAACCAATTACTGATATACAAGCGTGCCCGTGGTTTCACTAGGGTGATTCATATTTTAATCAGATAATTTTAAAAATTTTAAGTATGCACTGTAAGTATTTTTTGCATTCCGAACCGCGGGTTACAATTCAGAATTTTAAGGTCTGGGTTAAAAGGGTGTATTACGTTTTGTATGATTGATTCCCGGTTTCCCAGCTGAACTAGTTAAATTTAAAAAAAAAAAATTAATATGTTCATGTCTTGTTGATCGTTAATGTATAAATTGGTAGACAGCACAAAATGCAGACTGCAGACTGAATGCAGACCATTGTTTTCAGGGTTAGAAAACAATGGGACTATCAGTGGCTTCATAGCTTAGTTGGTTAGAACGTCGCACCGGTATTTTTTTCAGCCTTCTTACGCAATTGCATAAATCGCGTTTACAACTGCAAGGATCATTCTTCATTTGATTTCATTTCCGCAGTTCTCATATATGATTTATTTCATATGCATTTGTCAATGGGACTATTGTTGTCAAGTTCCCATTTGCATGGTGAAAACAATGTTTTGCACTGAGAGCAGTCAGCAGTCTTCAATTTGTACTTATGTTATATATTGGGACACACATTGTTTCACTTAATTAAAACTGTTTTTAAATTTAAGTAAAATGGGACTTCAGAGACGAGTTTAACTTATATGGATAAATTATTAGCGTTTCATACAACATTTTGCCTTCCACGTTTGGGAATGAATATGCTCGTAGTTTTAACTGTAAGTTTTGGACGATACACTGAATAGCCTGCGCAGAGACAGGAGCGAGTGACCGCTGGCGAATTGGACCGTCTGAGAATCATTAGAGTGACTTTTGCCTTATTTTAATAACCCTATTTTACGAAAAGCGTTGCCAGATAGTCCTTCCATGCCTGCAAACAAAGAAAGAAGGGCCCAAAATCTAATTTTCATCCGAAAACAAGATTTGTTTTCCTTGTCTATTTTTCCACCACCACTTCCTTGTAGAGCTGAGTCCGCCTCTGTCTCTGCACTCGTAGACTATTTGTTCCGCCATTAAACTAGGTTTAACTCTTAATCTTGTTTCTTAATAACTGCGAGTCATTTCAATCATAAAAAACCTTTTCGTGTATTATTGCGTTACTGGTCTAACAGCTTTAATTGATGTCGACTTTAAAGTATCCAAACAGTGGAAGATATTAGATTAAGATTTTGGACGCTGCAATTGCAATAACTTAATGATATTTTGTTGTAATTGTGCTAGGTTGTAAAAAGTTGGGCTTTTAATCAAATAGATCAGTTTCAGAACACGTATACAGCAACGTTCTGAGGTTTGGCGTTAGGAAATTACAACAATCGTTCAAGCTATCATCATTCTATCGAAAATCTGACCTATTTTTTTCGCCTCTAGATTGCTTTTCTCGAGGCCATTGACCTTTAGCCATCCCTCAGTTATATTATTTAAAGGAGCTGCTTTAATTTAGGGATGTCACCATTAGAAAAAAGGATAGGAGGTTGGGGGAAGGCAAACGCATTAGTAAGAAAAAAGTCTCCACACGCACCATGATCAAAAAGGTTGTTCGACGAGGAAAAATAGATTTTCACCTCAGGAGTAGAGAGAAAACTTTCATAGACCTCCCAAAAATTCAACACAACCCGTTACTTTCCTAATGGTTTATCCCTTATACCGCCCAATGTAACGGAATCCGGAATCTGGGAAAAATTTGCAAGTGGAATCCGAAACCCTGGGCTTTGGAGTCTGGGGTACAGCTCAAACAATGCGGAATCCCTCTAGCAATTGGAATTGAGAATCCAAGTTCTACTGACAAAGACTGAAATCGAGTACCTGGAATCCGGAACCAGTGACGTGGAATCCAGAATCCCAGACTATCGTGGATTCTCTTACATAGGGTGACTTATAAGGTCGGCTTGTTGAACTGCTTCTACTTGATCCCAACACGTAGCACGATATAATGTTTAGTCTCTGATGCCACCTTAAGATAAGTAATGTATTAAACCTGAAGAAAACGCATGTTTACTGTGATTTTTGATCTCTTTGATGCCTTAAACCATTTTAAAACAACTTCTCCTTGAATTGGAATAGTCAATATTTGATTAACAGTAAACCACTCCCCCCACAGGGGCGCTAAACATTTCGATTCTAGGACGTTTTTCACATATTTTAAGACACGTTTCTGATTCTGTCATCAAACCATCCCGAAAGGTAAATCGGTTTTCAAGCAAGAAAACCCAACTTTTAAGCTGAAGTTTGATGAAAACCATTTGACCTCGTTTCGCCATACAACGTCATAAGAACTATAAAGGCAACAAAAACTCATTCCATTATATTTTCAAAGAGTACCATGGTAGTGGCTCACAACTTTGCCACGAGTCTCTTGGCAGCCAAATGACTCAGTAAAACAAAAACGTGTTCAAACCAATTTTCCCCATTCAGGGATGTACCTGTGAAACTGCAAAGGAAACTTTTGTCAATATTTATCAAAACTAGAATTTCATCGCAAATCCAAGCAATCTTGCCACTTTCAACTAAAGCAGCACCGATCTAGAAAGTCGATCGTCTCATATCGCATTGGTTTCTGTGCAACTCATCGCCGCAGTGTGAACGGGTAACGAGTATTCGAACCGTGGCGTTAATAAAAGAGTAGGAGGGAGAACTGGAACCCAGAAAGACGGAAGTAAATATTAAGCGGAAGTGAGGATTGGGAATAATTTTTGCCAATCCCTCTCGGCCAACTATTTCAGACTCGAACCCAGTCGCTATTTATTTATCCTCGCGCGCCTCAATCTTCTCTCCAATCTCCAATCTTCTGTCATCCCAAAAACACATAAATAGTAAATGGGTGCGACTGTAGACATTTATAGATTTTCCTCTCCAGGCATGGGCAAAGTCAAGTTTAAGTACACACCTGGTCAATCGTGAAGCATGCACTACCGCAAATTTTAATCATATTTCCAAACATAGTCAATAAAATGTTAACCAGTGCCTATATTGAACACCTATTGAATGAGATTTTGTGATATCTGGAATAATCAAAGGTCTAGGTGTTACCAGCCGAGCCGAAGGCTGACGCTAGCTAATAACACTTATCGAGACCTTGATTATTCCAGATATCACAAAAAGCTAAACTAATCATACATTCTTTTGAAAATAAATACAATTGCCGCACAGAATATAGTTTGACATTGTTTTGCAAATCATGTATTGCGTGCGCAACTGCAGACAAGTCGCTATCTGCTAGCAGACCGAATTAACTAATCTGTAGGTTGCGCTGATTTTCAAATTACATTAACCGTAGGTTTCTAGCCAATGAGAAGGTATGTAGTGAGTACACTTATAATAATTTCATTTATATGTATATAAATTTATTTCTGGTTAACGCAATTGCAAGGAAAACAAAAAATTCATCCACCGAGTTATTAGTCATTACAATTAAAAAGGATGGTTGAGAATATAAGTGGGGATGGGAGAGACAAACTTGAAAATTTTTGGAAAAAACTTCAAAAGAAGGGAAACATGACGTAGCTAGTCCTTGATTAAACCCCTCGCCAGTAGATGGGTGTAATGAAGGTGCCTGGTCAAAAGTAGGGAGCCGCAATGCAGCACAGTGAGCGGGAACCAACACGCATCGTCACATTGATAATGGGGAGCTTACGCAACAGGACGGAAGCGAAAAGAAGACGGCAAACCTTCTGTGACAAACGTGACACTAATTTTGTTGAAATAACTTTTCTTCCGCCAAACTTCACCTTTCTTTAAACAGATCTTTTGTAAAAGACCAGAAAAATATTAATGGTGAGTGAAGATCATGATAAAACTGGAAAGTAATAGTTCCGTCACGTTTGGCCACACACCAGAGTTTGCTGTCCCTCGTATCTCTGCCATTCTGTGCGTACGCTCACTAATATCATGGGTGACAGACTACCTCTTTAAATTTAGCGCGAGATTTTCAGTTAATGTAAAATTTACCTAGGAATTACATAATTTGTTGGCGGCAACGTTCCGTATGTTTCAGTGGGGGTGCCAAGATGGCGAAGAAAATTAAAATGTTATGAATGAAGATGTCAAGGGGTATTTAAAGACGCTTTTAGAAAACCTCCTCAACGCACGAAAAAGAGCGCTATCGCAAGAACTCTTCCAACAGGTATTTTTATTGAAAAAACTTTGAATCAAGCCACCCTTATGGTTGAAACTTCAGGTGCGTGATATTTGTATGAAAATCTCCAAGCAAAGACAAGACATTGGAAGGTGCACTATCACTCCATGTAAGTGTAATCCGATTTCCGGAATTGGAATTTTGCTTGTGAATCCAAATTCAAACGTAGAATTTGTCCGAGTTCTACGGTCACGATTGCCTTCAAACTTGCAGATATAAAACTAGAGAGCTCTGAGGCTTATTTGCTGAAGTTAGGGAAAAATCTGTCGTGGGAATTCGAAGGTATTTACATCTTTCGTAAAAATGCGGTTTTAAATATATGCCGATATCTCAAAAGTTTTTATACCTACAAAAAAATGAATAACATTTTCTTAAAGCTCCATTATTGTTTATTTAGTATGCCAAAAATCATAGAAATCGGTTGAATCTTTTATTCTGAAAAACGCGAATCAAAAACATAACCAACATTAATGGGTTTTTTAATGGCGAAATGACCCCACTGATGGTAGCAGCTGAAAAAGGTCACATAGATGCAGTCACCTTTATTATTGAACATGGTGCTGACGTCAGTCTTCAAGACAGTTTTTGTAAAACAGCCGTTCACCATGCTGTCCTTGGTTCTGATGCCCCATGTGAGATTTTGAGTTGTTGAATTGAAAATGGAGCTGATGTCAATGCAGGATGCAGACTTGATGACCAAACCCTTCTTATGTTAGCAGCTTAAAATGGTCACATTAATGCAGTCACCTTCTCATTGAACATGGAGCTGATGTCAGTCTTCAAGACAAATGTTGTGAAACAGCCCTTCACTATGCTCTCCATGGTTCTGATGCCCCGTGCGTGTGAGATTTTGAGTTGTTTGATTGAAAATGGAGCTGATGTCAATGCAGGCTGCAGATATGACAACCAAACCCCACTCATGATAGCAGCTGGGAAGCGTCACATTAGTGCAGTTGCCTTTCTCATTCAACATGGTGCTATTATGGATCTTCAAGACGGAAATGCAGAAACAGCTCTTCACCATGCTGTGCTTTTTTCCTTAAGAAAAATCTGGGATCCGAAGAGGTTTGGATTCGGAGCTAATTATATCAATTCAGGCTATAGAAATGACAGCCAAATCCCTCTGAAGATATTGGCTGAAAAAGACCGTGTAAGTGTAGCAACCTTTCTTATTGCAGGGGCACCCAACGACAATTTTCGGAAAAATATCTGTTCGGAAGACGATTTGAGATCTAGAATTTTCGGAACATTTGTTGTAAAATTTCTTGTTTGCCTGTTTCTCCTAGGATTTTCGAACATCTAAAATATGGTATAATTGCCTATTTTTAACGGATTTTTACCCTAAAAAGGTCACCTAGAATTTTCGGGAGCCTTTTTTCTGGCTGAGATTTTCGAAAAGGTAAGTTTTGATCCCTATAATTTTCGGATCACTGGACTTTCAGCTACGAAATCCGAACAGATGAAAAATTTTTAGGGGATAAAAATATGCCTATATCTACCTTTGAAATACCAAAATACGTTTAACAATGCTATGTTTTAGCGGTTTTGAACTAAATTCTCGTTGGGTGCCCCTGTTATTGAACATGGAGCGAATGTGGATCTTCAAGACAAAAATGGTCTATTACCCCTTCATTATGCTGCAAGTCATTCTGATGTCTTATTGGAGATTTCAAAAAGTTTGATTGAAATTGGAGCTGATGAAAATAAATGTGCAAAAATCAAAAGCAGCCTGTTACTTGAAATGTTTAATTCAAAGTGGAGCTGATGTCAATCCCTTGAATGCAGTCACCTTTCTCAGTGAACATGGAGCTAACATGGCTCTTAAAGACAGTGATGGTTATACAGCTCTTCATCATGCCTGCAATTCTCATTACGTGAAATGTTTAATTCAAAGTGGAGCTGATGTCAATCCCTTGAATGCAGTCAGCTTTCTCAGTGAACATGGAGCTAACATGGCTCTTAAAGACAGTGATGGTTATATAGCTCTTCATCATGCCAGCTATTCTCATTACTCATATGAGATTTTGAAATGTTTAATTCAAAGTGGAGCTGATGTCAATGCGTGTACAAAGACCAAAAGCACCCCTGAAATGATGGCATGTAAATGTGGTCTCTAGAATGCAGTCACCTTTCTCACTGAACATGGAGCTAACATGGCTCTTAAAGACAGTAATGGTTATACAGCTCTTCACCATACTTGCAATTCTCATTCACATCACTCTATTACACTTTTAAGTTATTTGATTGAAAATGGAGCCGATATTAATGATTGCACAAACGATGACTACACGCCTCTGATGGTAGCAGCTTAAAAGGGTGATATAAATGCAGTCACCTCTCTCGTTGAATGTGGTGCTAATGTGCATCATCGTGACAGAGATGGTCGAACAGCTCTTCATTTTGCAATATATTATATTTCTCCTGCCTCAATTGTTGAGGGATCAAGTTCTTTAGTAAAATATGGAGCTACACCTACAATTTGTAATGAGACCCTACAGATGTTAGGAAGGTGTGATGGTCATGAAAATGTGGTGGCCTTTCTTATCGAACATGGAGCTGATCTGGATCTTCAAGACAAAGATGGTGACACCGCCCTTTACTATGCTGCAAGCTCTAGTCTTCCTGAGATTGTAAAAACATTTTTAAATCTTGGAGCATCCCACATGTGCAACCACCAAGGACTAACACCACTTCATCAAGCCAGCATTAGTGCAAATATTGCAGTGGTGGAGTATTTAATTCAGAGACCAGAAATAACAAGAGAGCAAAGAGTGGATGCTCTAGAGCTGCTTGGTGCCTCTGATCTGTTGTTACTCAATTTCTTAAGTTTAAATATTCTTTTTATTCTTGTGTCGACGGAGCACTGAGGTCTATCAAGCGTGGTATGCAAGAGAGATTTGTGGATGCATCTCAGCCTATATTAAAACAACCAAACTAACCTGATTATGGTAACAGAAAAGAGAGCCAGACACCTGAGGAACTTGTTAGAAGGTAACACCCAGGTTATCCTGATGGTATCCCTTATTATTAAAGAAAGAATCCTTGGAATGTACCACAGTGAGCTTCTCCAATCAATTAAACTTGTTTGCAAGCAGGGCAACCTCACTGATCCTTCTGTACTAATAGCAATGTATAGTCGTGCTGTGGATATAGCACAGAAATCTAATTTATCTGCCCGTGATGATTTTTAAGAAATATGGTATTTATTGCATGAAATGTACAGGGGGAGTAATCATCTAAAAGAAAAGGATTTGCTTGAATTGCTGAGGCAAATAGTTGTTGAGTATGAGAAGCAACATACGAAGAGAAAGAGAAATGATAACAAGCAATACTGTCAAGAGCTGGTCCTGGAGGATCTCTTCGACTGTTCACTTGAACTTGTGCTCATGATTTCAAAATTTGAATTTTGTGACGAGAGGAATGCCTCAAGTTTGACCATGTTGTTGAGGAAACTCTTCATGCAGGATCCTAGAAACAGATCTGGAAATACACTGTTACATGAGTTCATTGAAAGGTGCACAGATGATGATGATGATTTATTTCCTTGTCGTCAAGCAGTGAATCTTCTTTTGAACGAAGGGTTCAATGTCAATGTTGTCAACGATGAAGGAAACACTCCACTTCACATAGCTGTCATGTTAGAACCCAGGAATGACAAACTTTATCTTGTTACTGAAATCCTGCAGCTTTTGTTTTATGGAGGTGCTCATCATGATTTTGTCAACAATGATGGTAAAACACCCATGGACATGGCTAAAACTGATGAAGCTCGCATGATTCTTTCAGAGAGGAGAAAACTGGAGTTAAAGTGTATCAGTGCCAAAGCTGTCAAAAAGTTTGGAATTCCTTATTTGGGTGTGGTACCAAAAACCCTGGAGAATTACATCAGCAGGCATTAAAATTTAGCACGTGCTTAGATACAATAAATTTTTAGTAGCATCATTGATATTCTTTAACATTTTAACTATCGAGAAAACATGCCTAATTTTCCTGATTTTTGTACTTCTGGCTTCAAAGGTAGTTACTAGCTACACAAGGTGACGGGCTTACTTTGTGGCATTCAGTCCTTTGGATCTAGAAGGTTGTATTGACGGCAAAAACATGAACCATAAACTTAAAAATAAAGAATTTGACATTAAACCAAGAGTCACATTGGACCTCATTTTTCTATAGCTATATCTATTTTTAATCATGGGAAGAGGGTAATATGACTCCCCCAGTAAGGGGGGTGGGGTGGGACAGGTGGGCTAAACCTCTTGACTCTTTTTGTTTACTTACGTCGTCCCTTTAGGTCATGGTCGATTGCAAAACATTGATTTTTGTTGTATAATTTCCTCCTATTTCTTCTGCTTCCCACCTGTTTCAAACTCCCACCTCCCATCCTGTTTTCTCCCCCCCTGTACCCCTCCTGCACTATGTACCCCTCCTGCCTTATGTACCCCTCCTGCCCCACATACCCCTTCAACTGTGTATTATCCCTAGCCCCCATCCCTCCTGTCCTCCCCATGGCGCCACTAATAACTCTGATGAAGATCTCGAAAAGTAGCAACTTCAGAGCCTGCCCAACTTAACGAGCGGTAAACTAAAAGATTAAAAGTTGGTAATGAAGATGTTGCAGTATACTTTTTAAAAATATTTTCCTTAAAAAATACTGTTGTACAGTGGTTTATGGTCTACGGTATATAACTGCTACTGTACCTTATTATCTATACAGTTGCCAGGGGCGTAGCCAGCTTTTCGGCTAGTTGTAGGCCTGCACTGACCTCACCAGCACTTTGACCTCTTAAGCTTTTTAGCTCACCCCAGCTAGGCATAATTTATTACAAGTGGTAGAGTGATCAAACCAAAAATTGTAGGCCTGGGCGTACAGGTCTGTAGGCTGGCTACGCCCGTGGTTGCTTAATCTCTTATGTAGCATTAAAATGCAGCATTTTCTGCTTCCTGTCTTCAAAAAGTTTTGCCATCACCTCTTTTCCCTTGGGATCCATCACAGGCAGCCCACGCTAGAAATATGAACTTTGGCATTATTGCATAACATGCGAAATATATGGTTTGAATGGGGAAACACTGATCAGTTCTGTAACCAACGAAAATAAGACGGGTTCAATGAATATAGTGGAACCTCTCCTTTGGGACACCTTCATTCAGGGGACACATAATTTGGTCCTGGAAAAACGCCCACCTAATCTTTGTATCTGTTACCAGCTCTATTGAAGGGACAGTCTCTTTTCTTCTTTAGCTTTAATAAGGGGAGTGCACGCGCGCGCGAGCATTGACCGGCGAAGCCGCGAGACGCGAGAAACGAGGACGGCAGCCTCTCTCGAGTCACACGCATGGCCATTTGCATGTCTCGCATTTTGCTCGTTGACGGACTACAGAAAAAGGAGAGACTGCTCGTAGTCTATCGTAGAGAGGAGTTAATGACGATTTTTTTATGTTGTCTTTGTTGGTTAATTATTAACAAACCCCTCTATTCAGCAGGGGACACCTCTATTCAAGGGACCCTTGCCATGGTCCCTAGGGTGTCCCCTGAATAGAGGTTCCACTTACGTGTTACGGTTTTTAACGCGGAAAAAACTGGCAAAGCCGGGTTTGCCGAGTTATCGTTATTTATAAGCCGGGGGGGGAGATTTAAAGGAAGTTTGGTTGGGGCTGTGCTGCCTAAACCCTTCTATTCTGACCCTGTTTAAGGCAAAATGCATTAAAATTGCAACCCTGTTTAAGAAGCTAGGTGAAATAGACTCGGGGGGGACTCCGTATATGAAAGAGGTGGGGATGCTCGTCGGAAATTTTGAATTAAACCCCTAAAAGAGACCAATCTGGGCGTAACCCAAGCTTTTTTTTTTTTACCCCTAAAAGAGACCATGTTAAAGCACAGACAATACACATATTTTTATATTTTTTCACGTGCAACCCTAAACGAGACCTTCACGGCTAAATATGATGGCGTTTTGCCCAGAACATCCTAAGTGAGACCAAAATCCGAAATTTACACCCCTAAGCAAGACGACGAACATCCCCACCCCTTTCATATGCGGAGTCCCTCCCCCGGGGAAATAGACCTTTAGCTTGTATGTTTTGTTTTCCCAAATCAGACCACGTGATGTTCTCAAGGGAATTTGCCCCCGGGGGGATACTCCCATATGAAACAGACGGGGATGCTCGTCGTCTCGCTTAGGGGGGTAAATTTTGGATTTTGGTCTCGCTTAGGGTGTTCCGCGCAAAACGCCAATATTTTAAGCCGCTAAGGTCTCGTTTAGGGTTCCGCGAAGAAACACAGAATTACGCGAAGACAAACAGAAATCAAATTTTCTTTTTAACTTTGTTTGTTATGTCTTTATATCATTAAAACTCATTGCTTGTCGTATTTGTGTGTTCTTAAGCGGTCTCTTTTAGGGGTCAAAATTTGCTTAAGCCACGCCCAGATTGGTCTCCTTTAGGGGTTAAATTCAAAATTTCCGACGAGCATCCCAGTCTGTTTCATATGGGAGTCCCCCCCCCGGGAATTTGCCTTTTGTCTCTTCATTAGTAATAATCATGTACGCATATGCACGTGCATAGGACGACATTATTTTAAAAGAAACAATTCTCTGGGGTATTAAACATCACATGATCTGTAATGGGAAAACAAAACCTACAAGCTAAAAAGGTCTTTTGAATACTTTTTTTTAAGATTCAAGATCCCATAAACTTATACCATGCAGAATGGCACATACCTAGTGAGCAAAACATGGAAGTCCCCCCCCCCGTGTGATTGGTGTGTGTCAATCCGTAAACTCCCAAAGGAACCACTTTCCATATATGGAGGCGAAGAAACAATGCATTTGTTAATGATGACATATCGTCAAGATATTACGTGCGTGATTTACGGACGTAGTTTTCCAAAATATACACAAGCACACTTGTCGACCGAAGTTTCCATGCTAAAGAACAATTTCACTACATTATCGTTCAAAAGTAATACTAAATTCTCAGTGATTCTAATAGTGCGTATCACTAATTAAACATTCCTTTCGTACGTTACGAGCACAAATTTTAAGACAGATAATAAATATATTCTGAGTATTTTTTTCTGTCTTTTTGCTTTTTCGCCTTTTATTCAACAGCCAAGGGGAGGGGAATCCGCATATGAACGGGGGGGGGGATGCTCGTCGGAAATTTTGAATTAAACCACTAAAGGAGACCGATCTGGGCGTGGCCCAAGCTTTTTTGACCCCCTAAAAGTAACCTGAGATCAGGCTCAATCTTCGTTTCGCTTTGTAATAACATTCCGGCGGGCAACGCGAAACGAAAACAGGCCCAATTTTAGCGGTAGCCGTTCGAGAGAATGTAAGAGAACCGCTAAAATTGGGGCTGATCTCAGGTTACCTAAGAGAGACCATGTTATTATTACACTCTTGTAAAACAATGGACAAAGACGTCTTCTTTAAGTATTGATGTTATAGAAAACTTGGATTTTATGAATGGAGTAAATAAAACGATTTTAAAATATACATATCAAATATCAACTTTTGAAGCAAGGACCAGCTTACAAAAAAGAGAGAACGGACCCTAATGAAGGATCTAATCAGTAATAAGTGAAAATATAGAAGCAAAAGAAGCAAGACTGATTTTACAGTCGGGAATATATGTAATTTTACCAATGTTTTGGAAGGCACGGCCTTCCTTCTTCTTACATGTAAGACCCTGAAGAAGGAAGGCCGTGCCTTCCGAAATATTGGTAAAACTACATATATTCCCGACTGTAAAATCGGCCTTGCTTCTTTTGTTTTACATATCAAGTATATACTTTTCTATTATATAGACACGGGTGTTTTACTGGAAAATATACCACTCGTAAAATTCATAAAAACTACATCCGGGACCTGAGTGGTTTATTTTCCATAATCTCACACGTGAGTTTATCGATGACGTAATTTTGGTAATTTCCCTCTATTATTTTATCGATGTCATTTTGTCTATATAATAAAAAGAACACTACACGGCAGCTTGAAGATATGAATTTTATTTTCTCGTGGCAAAAACAATATTTTACTCACTCGCTGCGCTTGTTGATAAAATATTGTTTTGTCACTCGAAAATAAAATTCATATCTTCGCGCCACCGTGTAATATCCTCTATATATTTTTTCGCGTGCAACCCTAAACGAGACCTTCACGGCTAAATATGGTGGCGTTTTGTCCGGCACACCCTACGTGAGCCTATAGTCCGAAATTTACAACCCTAAGCGAGACGACGAGCATCCCCACCCTTTCAATATGCGGAGTACCGCCCCCTCCCCCGGGATTCAACAGGGATGATAGATGAAACGTGATTCGTGGATCCATGATGTCAAAAAATTATTTCGTAGAAAACATACGAACCACTAGTTCTCAAAAGATCGTGTGAATTATCAGGAATTACAGGAAAATACATAGATTTTTCAAACATAAAATGATTTCGTCAAAGGGATGACCTAGAAAAAAAAATGGTAACAAAAAATTTGAATAGTATTTCTTTATGAGCTTTAACAATTCTAAATATCTGGTAAAAATTAAGAACCAATGACATATCTTAAGACGCGCGACTTTACTAACAACATAATTTTTTCCGAGTGCCACTTTAATTTCTCTCTCAACTGGTTACACTAAAGCCCATAAAAAGGCCATAAATCGACCAGCAGACCACACAGGAAAGATGTTACATACATTGTGAGTAAGGTAAGCCGCTTTTTATTGAAATCCTTTCATTTTCGTGGGTTAATGTCGCGCTCTTGCCGGTTTGTTTTGATAACATAGATAGCCTGTGAATTTCAGGTTTTCTTATTTTTAACTCTTTTCAATTCTGGCTTCAATGCAGTTAAATCACATATTTCGAAAACACTGATACAGCCGAACCTCCATATGCGACCACCTCTCGT